GTGTTCAAACAAAAACTTGTATACTCTTTAAATGTGTTAAGATCATAAATATGCAGGAAAGTCTTGGGAACATTGCCAGGAAAACTGGATCAGAATCAAAAAACACATTATACTCCCAGGTGGGGCAGGAGGTAAAAGTGAAATGAGTTTGTAGACTGAATTATCACATAGGAACCATGCTGATTTCCTGATCAAGGGGTTATGTGGTGGTAACCTGGGAGTGTGTCTGTGCTTTGGGTAAAATATACCAGAGTATTTTGTGGGACATTGCAAATCTGGTACAGCAGTAACTGCTGGGGAAACTAAGAATAAAGAAACAGGTTATATTTTGCACTGCTACTGGAAGTTTCCTAGAAGTATGGCATTAAAAGTAAATTACTTTTTAAAACAACCATATCAATACTATACCAAAAAAGCAGATATCATCAAAATCCACTAGAGAGGCTATGCTTCATCCAAACCTGTGAACCCTGATAAAAGCCTCAATGTCAACAGACTCCACTTAGTAGCTATTTTTTATTAGTATTAGAGGCTACTGTATGGATACATTAGTGTTACAGTACAGTACAGATATTACTGTTAGGGCATAGTGTGCATATATTGGTGTTGGGGAACAGTGCAGATATTACATTAGTGTTAGGGCACGGTATGGATAGTATTACATCAGTATTAGAAGCAATGGTGTGGATATTAGATTAGCGTTAGGGTATGGTATGGTTATTATATTGGTGTTAGGTAGGGCACGGTATGGGTATCATAGTAATGTTAGGGCACGGTGTGATTATTATATTAAAGGCCACTGTGAGAATATAGACTAGCAGCCACTGTGTCTGGGACGTTGACAATGACATCAAGGGTATAATTGTGAACAATGGGATTTGGGGGTTGTATTTCTTCCTTTTGTGAGTACCCTAAAGACTCTCTTCTGTGCACTCAGGGCCGTGGAAAGGAAGCTTTTTACTCACCAATGAACAACACTTAGTTCACAAGACCCTCATGCTGCCCTGAGAAAGTCGAAGCTCCTGGCTGCCTCAGGTACCTCAGAGGGAAGTTGGTCAGGGGTGGGTTCATGCGCCCTCTGGTGGCACCAGAGCTCAGCACAGACGCTCTTGCTCACAGTTTTGCAGTGGACGTGCAACCCCTCCTGGCTGTCCTGAAATACCTATACAATTCAATATTCGGTTTATTCAATGTAATAATTTTGGCAATTCGAACAGAAATAAAGCCCACTGTAGCCATATCCTTTCCAAAAATGGTGATGGAAGACTTTGGAAGCCATATAGAATGAAATGAATATATTCACAAATTAAAAAAACACAAAAACCTACTCAAAATAGTCCAGAGACTATAATTTCAAATGCAAAACTATAAAAAATCTAAAAGAAAATCTATGTGATGTTGGGTTTGGTGTTGGGTTTTAATACACAACATCAAACACCAATTACTGAAAATATTGGTAACACAGACCTTATAAAACTAAGTATTCTACTGAGAAAAACTGTATTCAGAGAACAAAAAAACATGACAGACAAGAGCAGATATTTACAAAATATACACGTGATTTTAAAACTGGGTAAATATCTGAACAGATACCCAGCCAAACCAAATATACAGATAGCAGGCTGGGCATGGTGGCTCCTGCCTGTCATCCCAGAGCTTTAGTAGGCTGCGGCGGTTAAATCATCTGTGGTCAGGAGTTCCAGATCAGCCTGGCCAACATGGCGAAACCCGGTCTGTACTAAATATACAAAAAACTATCCAAGCATGGTGGTGGGTGCCTATAATCCCAGCTACTTGGGAGGCTAAAGCAGGAGAATCGCTTAAACATGGGAGGCAGAGGTTGCACTGAGCCAGGATCGTGCCATTGCACTCCAACCTGGGTGACAGAGCAAGACTCCACCTCAAAACAAAAAAAAAAAAAGATGTTAATAACATAACTGATACATGTTGATATGTTAATACGAGGGGAAACTAGGTTGGGCCTACACTGGAAATCTGCATTTTCTTTCCAATTTCAGAGTTAATCTAAAACCAGTTTAAAATAAAACTTTTATTTAAAAATTGCGGCCAGGCACGGTGGCTCAAGCCTGTAATCCCAGCACTTTGGGAGGCTGAGGCGGGTGGATCACAAGGTCAAGAGATCGAGACTATCCTGGTCAACATGGTGAAACCCTGTCTCTACTAAAAACACAAAAAATTAGCTGGGCATGGTGGCGCGTGCCTGTAATCCCAGCTACTCAGGAGGCTGAGGCAGGAGAATTGCCTGAACCCAGGAGGCGGGGGTTGCAGTGAGCTGAGATCGCACCATTGCGCTCCAGCCTGGGTAACAAGAGAGAAACTCCAGCTCAAAAAAAAAAAAAAAAAAAAAATTGTATTTTTTTTCAAATATCTGCTTATTTGTACTAATAGTAATTGATACTACTACTTTTTACAATAAAAGCATTCATGATGCTGCAAAGGAAATTATGCAAACTACTACATGATTTCAAAGAAATGTCTCTTTCATGTTTTATGTTAAAATAACACATATATGTAAACACATTTATCATATCTTTTTTCTTGTGATGTGGTTCACTCTCTAGGAACGTTGGTCAGGTTAGAACCAGGGGAAAAAATATCGTATTTTGGAAACTATTTCAATTTACGGCTGGACATCTTCAAAAGCATAACTTTAAAAAAAAACAGTTACAATAGGAAACTGATTGTGACTGGATCACTTATTCTGCTTGTCTTTGTTTCCCAGCATTCTTTTTAGCTACAATACAACAAAAGCAAATATTTGCCATTGGAAAAAATATTCAAAGACAGGAAAAAGGTAAACAGAATTTATGACCATAGTTATTCAATGTTTCATCAGGATGCTTTCTAATACAGAAGACTTTAAAAGGATAGTCAAAGTTATTTCCCCAAAGATGCTTTGCAGAAATTGATGAAACTGGAGAAACAAAAGTAGCAGGACAATCAATGTGACTTTAGATGTCACTGTCTTGTGGGCGAAAATAATTTACCTTTCAGGGTATTACAAAGAATTACTGGAAGCCCAGACTCCTGGTATGTTTCTAAATTTAGATGTCAATATAGCTAGCAATGAATATGATAAAAAGGAATTTGTGCCTTATTTGTGTAATGAAACACCAAAGCAGTATTTAATGCTCCAAGGAAAACAAATTATGCCTGAAATACAGTTGACAATCTCAGAATCAAAATAAGCTTCCTGGCCAGGCAATGATGGCTCACACCTGTAATTCCAGCACTTTGGGATGCCAAAGCAGGCAGATCACCTGAGGTCAGGAGTTTCAGACCAGCCTGACAAACATGGATAAACCCCGTCTCTAGTAAAAATACAAAAATCACCCAGGCATGGTAGTGCATGCCTATAATCCCAGTTACTTTGGAGGCTGAGGCAAGACAATCACTTGAACCTGGGAGGCGGAGGTTATGGTGGGCTGAGATCACGCCATTCCTCTGCCCTACTGTATATGTAAAAATGCAGACTCACTGAACCTGAGTAAATTGTGTATTCAGTGGAAGGCTGATCAAGGATTCAAAAGAACGCAATTTTTTGTTTTATCTACTTCTGACCCAGAAGCACCCCCACTTCCTACCTCCAGTTGTTCCACCTCACTGAACCAAATGACTTTACATCTTACACATATTGATTGGTGTCTCATGTCTCTCTAAAACGCATAAAAGCAAGCTCTACCCTGACCACCTCAGGACCACCTGTCAGAACCTCCTGAGGCTGTGTCATGGGCATGTCCATAACCTTGGCACAGTAAGCTTTCTACACTGACTGAGACCTGACTCCGATATTTTGGGATCACAGTCAACAATCACCATGGTGTGACAGTTGACTACAGCATTCAGTACAGACACATCCTATACAGGTTGGTAGCCTGGGGCGATAGGCTACACCATACAACTTAGGTGTGCAGTGCGCTACGCTATCTAGGTTTTATAAGGACACTATGGTGTTCGCACAGAGATGAAATCAGTAAGGACAACTTTCTCAGAAAGGATCCACATCGTTAGGAGATGCCTGAGTGTATTTTAAATGGTTAAAGCCTAGGAGGAAAAAAGAAACTCAACTCCTGTTACGGTTTGATAACCAAGCTTAACAGAGTTCACATACTTCATCTGAGAGACTAATGATTAACAGACATTTCATGCACCATCACAAATAGGTTGCCAATTAAACTGGCTTTCTGACTAACAACAAAAATGTGAATTTATTTCTATTAAGATCAGGAAAGTAAAACGAAGACAAATTACTATTTTGACAGGTTAAAGCAAAAGAGGAGGAGGTCGTTAGCCCGAGGTCTCGCCGAAGCACACGGAAACCGAACCCGGAGGCATTTACACTGACTTGGCAAATTCACCAACCGACCTCGGCCAAGGACAAGCAGCCCGGCCGCCCGCCGGCCGCGCGACGAGGGCGCGGAGGGAAGCACGCCCCCGGCCGGCGCCTCGCCGGAGCCTCCCCCGGCCGCCGCCTGCAGGGGCCGTTTTCCGTGCCGGTGCTTCAGGTGTGATCACCACCCACTCCTCGGCTCAAACGAACGCTTTAAACTTAGCTTGCCTCACATTCTCCTCAGCCCTAACCCCGAGCGCGGGCCCCAGTCCGCACCCTAACCCCGGACCGCACATGGCTTCCCCGTCTGCACGGAGACGTGGGCGCCGATTAGCGGAGCGCTGCCTCGGCAGGGCCGCGCGGAACCGAGGCGCTGCGTTAGCGCTGCGGGCGTTTTCTGCGGAAACGCCAGACCGCGGGAGCCGCGTTCCCACCTCGGACGTCCTGTCGGCCTCAGGAGCCGCGCTCGGTGCTCCGACGCCGCACTGCGGACATGGCGCGGCGGCCGCGCGGCCTGGGTGCGGAGAACCTCCGCCAGCGGGGTTCCCAGGGGCTGCTGGGGCCCCGTTTTCCACACCGAGACCCTCTTCCTAGTCTCTGACCCTCGGAGCCGTCAGGGCTGCGAACAGGAAGGAAGGAGTTTACTCACGGTGGCCGCGGCCCAGCGCTGTCCCAGAGCGAGGCGGAGCCCGCAAGGCCTGTGCTGAGAACGCTGCTCCGCCTTCGCGGGGCCGGCGGGTCTGTGCTGAAGAGAACGCGGCTCCGCCCTCGCGGGGCCCCGAGGTCTGGAATGACTGGAACCCACCGGCACAGACCGCCAGGCACCTGCGCGTGCGCGCCGTGACGGCATGCGCGCCGTGACGGCATGCGCGCCGTGACGGCATGCGCGCCGTGACGGCATGCGCGCCGTGACGGCATGCGCGCCGTGACGGCATGCGCGCCGTGACGGCATGCGCGCCGTGACGGCATGCGCGCCGTGACGGCATGCGCGCCGTGACGGCATGCGCGCCGTGACGGCATGCGCGCCGTGACGGCATGCGCGCCGTGACGGCATGCGCGCCGTGACGGCATGCGCGCCGTGACGGCATGCGCGCCGTGACGGCATGCGCGCCGTGACGGCATGCGCGCCGTGACGGCATGCGCGCCGTGACGGCATGCGCGCCGTGACGGCATGCGCGCCGTGACGGCATGCGCGCCGTGACGGCATGCGCGCCGTGACGGCATGCGCGCCGTGACGGCATGCGCGCCGTGACGGCATGCGCGCCGTGACGGCATGCGCGCCGTGACGGCATGCGCGCCGTGACGGCATGCGCGCCGTGACGCCGTGACGGCATGCGCGCCGTGACGGCATGCGCGCCGTGACGCCGTGACGGCATGCGCGCCGTGACGCCGTGACGGCATGCGCGCCGTGACGCCGTGACGGCATGCGCGCCGTGACGCCGTGACGGCATGCGCGCCGTGACGCCGTGACGGCATGCGCGCCGTGACGCCGTGACGCCGTGACGGCATGCGCGCCGTGACGCCGTGACGGCATGCGCGCCGTGACGCCGTGACGGCATGCGCGCTGTGACGCCGTGACGGCATGCGCGGCCTCAGGAATCTGAAACGGCGGCATTGGCGCGTCCTGCTGGCGCCCGGCGGCGTGGGCGAGGGGCCCGGCGGCGGGGGCGAGTGGCCCTCCTGCTCAGGGTGCTGTCCCGCGCCCCATGCTGGCGGCTAGGGCCACCGCGGGCCCTCCTAACGGCGTGGTGGCCGGCGTCTCCTGCTGGCAGTCGGGGCCCTGCAGGGCCCTTTTGCTCACCGCGTGTGGCAGCCCGCCCCCTGCTGGCCGCCGCGGCAATGCAGGTCCTCCGGCCGAGGCTGCTCTGCCCGTGCTGCTGGGCGCTCTTGCCCGCGGTGTAGTGCTTGGTATGCCCGTGCTGGCCCTGCGGGCACTGCAGGCCGTCTTGCTCACGGTGCCTTGGCAGCACTCCCATGCTGGCAGCCAGAGCACTGCGAGGTCCTCTTGCTCACGGCGTGGTCCCTCTGTGCCCCCTGCTGGCAACTAGGGTCGCTGCTGGGCGCTCCTGCTAGCAGTGTGGTCAGCAAAATTCACAGATTCTAATTTTTTAAAACATGATTGGCCGGGCGCGGTGGCTCACGCCTGTAATCCCAGCACTTCGGGAGGCCGAGGCGGGGGGATCACGAGGTCAAGAGATGGAGACCGTCCTGGCCAACATGGTGAAACCCCGTCTCTGCTAAAAAATAGGATAATTAGCTGGGCGTGGTGGGCCATGCCTGTAGTCCCGGCTACTCGGGAGGCTGAGGCAGGAGAATTGCTTGAATTCCGGGAAGCAGAGATTGCAGTGAGCTGAGATCGCGCCACTGCACTCCAGCCTGGCTCCTGGTGACAGAGCAAGACTCTGTCTCAAAAATAAAAATAAAAACATGGTCAAGACCTAGGAAACACAGAAGACAAGTTTTAAGTAATTTGATGGTATAATCTTGAAGTTTGAGAGAGTTCATATATTTCATCAAATGTAAATTTTCAATGTTTATAAAACACTATTGCCAGGCATGGTGGCTGACGCCCGTAATCCCAGCACTTTGGGAGGACGAGACACGTGGATCACGACATCAGGAGTTCGAGACCGGCCTGACCACCACGAAAAAACCCCATCTCTACTAAAAATATAAAAATTAGCTGACTGTGATGGCTCACACCTGTAATCCCAACTACTCAGGAGGCTGAGGCAGGAGAATTGCTTGAATCCGGGAGGCAGAGGTTGCAGTGAGCCGAGATGACGCCATTGCAGTCCAGCCTGGGCAACAAAGTGAGACTGTCTCAAAAAAAAATTATTTTATGTACCATTACAAATATACTGACAAACTGTGACTTCTGCAACAAAGGAGAAAAATGTTAGGTATAAAATATTTGAAGTTCGTGTTGTGAATTTTAATATGCCTACTTTTAAATTTTTCATTATTGTTTCAACAGCTTTAACGAGCCATTAAAACACAAACCACAGCATTTATGGAGGGAGTGAATGTTTCGTCTGAACTCTGGTTCAGAGGCAACTCGGCTGCCTGTCCCCAACTTTTCACCCCAACCATCCGGGTGTCACCACTAAGAATTTCTCCTTAGTTCCAGTATCTTTTACCAGAAACAAACCCATATATGTAAAAGTTACTCTGGCGTGCTATAATGATTTGCAGTCAAAGCCTCAGTGGAGGGAGAGTAGTACGGTAAGCCTTATAGAAGACTACGCGACAAGGAAATGCCACAGCGCTCCCTCCTCCAGGCTCAGGGCCCAGCCAGGAAGCTTTTTCCTTACCTTTTCCTCGGCGGGCCCAGGTGTCCCAAGGCAGTGGCGTCTCCACAGTGGCATCTGCTCAAGTGGGTACAGAGAATAATGAAGCTCCATCCTCACCGGGAATTGGCCCCAGGTCCCCAGGTATCCCCAAACCACAGCCTGTCCTCCAGAAGAGAAGGAAGCTGTGCTGTCCTCGGGCGAAGGGGGGGATGCTGCTGAGTGGATTAGATCCAGTTTACAAGCTGTCAAGGAGGGGCCCTGCACCCCCTCCAGCAGTCCTGGTGAATCACTGAAATTCAGTGTTGGGATTATTCCAGGCCATAATTTTGGAAATGTCAACTGAAATCAAGCCCACCATCCCGTGCCTTGATCCTAACGAATGGAGATAAGAAGAAGCAAAGATGCACAATAGACAAAACTCAACAGATTTTTTTTTTTTTGCATCAACAATAACGTGTAGGAATAATTGGATCTTAAAATATTAAAATGCCATTTACAACAGCACTCCCAAAATTGAATCCATTAAGTATAAATCTCACAAACCATATAAAAAGCATTTAGAAAACCAAGAATCACAGTTGAGATAAATAAAAATAAACATATATAAGGCATGGTGGCTCACGCCTGTAATCCCGTAACTTTGGAAGACCGAGGCAGGTGGATCATCTGAGGTCGGGAATTCAAGACCAGCCTGACCAACATGGAGAAACTCCGTCTTTACTAAAAAAAATACAGAAATTACCTGGGTGTGGTGGCATGTACTTGTAATCCCAGCTACTCGGGAGGCTGAGGCAGGAGAATTGCTTGAACCCAGGAGGCGGACGTTGCAGTGAGCCAAGAAAGAGCCATTGGAATCCAGTCTAGGCTCTAGTCAACAAGAGCTGAGCTCCATCCCCAAAAATTTTTTTAATATATACGTACATGTAAGTGCAGAGATATTACCTGTTTTAGAGAAATACAGTCATTATTCTCAAGATGACAATTCTTTCAAACTTGATCTATAGATTAAGCCAAATCACAATCTAACAACTACCTAAACCCAGAATGGATGACATAAGGCTGAAGAAGAACAAAGTTTAAAATATTATGCAACCAGATCTAAACACTTACGTAAAACCACAGTAATAAAGAAAATGTGATACTGGTGAAGGAGTAGATACATAGATAAGTGAAACAGAATAGAGAACCCCATAATATACTCAAGCTAACTGATTTTTTCAAATGGGGCAAAGGAAAGCCAAGGTGGGTGGATCACCTGAGGTCAGGAGTTCGAGACCAGCCTGGCCAACATAGCGAAACTTCCTTTCTACTAAAAATACAAAAATTAGTGGGGCGTGGTGGCAGTCACCTGTAATCCCAGCTACTCAGGAGGCTGAGGCAGGAGAACCACCTGAACCGGGAGGGAGAGGTTGCAGTGAGCTGAGATCACGCCACTGTACTCCAACCTGAACAACAGAGTAGGACTCTGTCTCAATAAAAATGAAAATGAAACAAAATCAAGCAACAACAACAACAACAACAAACCGTTGCTTTCTCCACTACAACTCTCTACTATGGGGAGTTGCTAACCAAAAATTCAAACATCACAAAGAATCTCTCAATGCTTCTCAATAGAACCTCTGAGGGAATTCTAGATACTTCTATTTTTTATTAGTGATAAAGCTCTGTAACTCGCTGTGTTAAACAACCAGAGCATCCACACCTGCTTTTCCTAGGGTGCACTCAAAGGGGGCAAAGGCAATCCAATGGAGAAAGAAAAGTGCGTTCCACAAATGGCAACGGAACAACGAAAAACCATATGAGAAAACTGTGAACATAGACACAAACTTCCTGAAAAAAATCATTCAAAACAGAGAATAGACTTAAATTTTCAAAGGCCACGTTTTAATACGAGAAAAATCTACATGGCCTTGGTTTTTGGGATGACTTATTAGATTTAACATCAAAAGCCAAGGTCTGCCTCTGCTGCCCAAGCTGTAGTGTAGTGGCAGGATCATAGTTCACTGCAACCTCAAACTTCTGGGCTCAAGTGATCCTCCCAGCTCAGTCTCTCAAAATGCTGGTATTACAAGCATAAGCCACAATGCCAGCCAAGACTTGGTTTTCTATGGTGCAATACATGCATACTTTTTTTGGTAGCAACCATAGCATAAACAAAAACATCAATAATATTAACACTTGTCATGAGGAAAAAGCAACTTAAAACAACAGTGAGGATAGCAATGAATATCTACTAAAATGGCTAATTTTTTTTTAAACAGTTTTGCTCCGTTCCCCAGGCTGGGGTGCAATGGTGCAATCTCAGTTCACTGCAGCCTCGACCTTCTGGGCTCAAGCAGGCCTCCCACTTCAGCCTCACAAGTAGCTGGGACTACAGGCATGTGCCACCACACCTTGTTACTTTTTTGTATTTTTAGTAGAGATGGGATTTTGCCATGTTACCCAGGCTGGTCCTAAACTCCTGGGCTAAAGTGATCCAACTGCCTTGGCCTCTCAAAGTGCTGGGATTATAGGCATGAGCCACCATGCCCAGCAAAATGGCTAGAATCTTTCTATAAATGCAACAGAAATTGCAACAGGAACTCTCATTTATTGCAGGTGGAATGCATAATAGTACAGCAAGTATATACCCACGTTTGATTACTTTTAATCACTTTATTTTTTCTGAGACAGAGTCTCACTCTGTTGCCCAGGCTGGAGTGCAGTAGCGCAATCTTGGCTCACTGCAACTTCTGCCTTCTGGCTTCAAGCGATTCTCCTGCCTCAGCCTCCTGAGTAGCTGGGAGTACAGGCTCCCACCACCATGGCCAGCTAATTTTTGAATTTTTAGTAGAGACAGGGTTTTACCATGTTGAACAGGCTGGTTTCAAACTCCTGACCTCAGGTGATCTACCCGCCTTGGCCTCCCAAAGTGCTGGGATCACAGGTGTGAGCCAGCAACCTGCTGCTGTACGTGCTCAGCAACCTTTGATTTCTGATCTCATGAATGTTTCTCAAATGCTTTTTCTACTGCAATTCTTCACTGTGGGGAGTTGCTAATCAAACTATTCAAACATCACAGTAAGCAAAGAATCTCTCAATGATTCTCAACACAATCCCTGAGGGCATTCTGTAGACTTCTATTTTTTATTAGTAGTAAAGCTCAGTAACTCACTGTGTTAATCAACCAGACCATCCACACCTGCTTTTCCTGGGGTGCTGGCCCAGCTCGCAAAGGATGTCCAAGCCCAGGCTTCCCTCTGAAAACTCAAGGAGCACCCTGGCTTCCCAGCATGCAACGCATGAGACCTG